AACAAAATTAGAAGAGAAAAAATCTCACATCTAAGAAATATAGTAATATGATGTATTAACTTATTGTTTGAGTAGTTTAAATTTCTAAATAACATGGTCTCGTAATTTAGGTTTGATAAAATAATTAAAAAAAAAGTTAAAAATAATCTTGTGTCACTCTTCCTTTTCTCCCTCTTTTCGTTCACTATTTTACCTTGGTCTCTCAAATAATGATTGTAACATGTAGTTTCTATATATGTACACTTGACTTCAAAAGAATGGTCATATTTTGTATTTGTAAAGCAAGTTTGATTAATGTTGAACACAATTTTACTTTTTTTTTAAGGAAATTAAAAAAAAAAGGCAACCTAAATTAGGAGAATCCTCGTAGAGGTAAATCTTCACGGTAAAGGAAAAGAAACAACTCTTCAACAGACACTACAAGAAAATAGAATTTCAATGATGAAGTTTTTGATGTCATCTTAATAATGAATAAACCACCACTCAATTCAAAAGCTTAAGCTGATGGATGGTTTTGGGATGGAACCTCATGAATATTCATATGGTATCAGAGTGGGAGGTCCAATGTTCGAACCCGTTGTCGTTTCCTCCCCATTTATTATGATTTCAACGACGTAGAAAAAACGTCGCTAGAACTTCTTACTTTGTAAGATTTTATTACACACCTGAAATTAAAGATTAGTAAAAAGAGACTACAATCTAAAAAAAAAAAAAAAAAATCTAATTTGCATCTTCTCTTATCTCCCATATTGTCATAGGTTATATAACTTGATTTATAATCATTTTCCTCTTTCTCAGTGAACAAATTCTAGTCAACCCAAGCAATCAATCTTAAACAAAAAATAGGATCTATTCCTGAGATGAATTGATAACATCAAGTGTTCCTTCAGTACTGAGTTCATGGAGTAGCTAATTAATCATAAATAGACTCGATGAATCTCTTAAAGAAAAATCTAAAGTTAAGCCCAATAAAATTAGAAAATTAAAATATAGGCCTCATGTAGTATGAAAATTAACTTTCTTTTTCTGGTATTATTATGTGATATTATAGACGTTGGTTTAGGGATGACAACGGAGCGGGGCGAGACCGAGGGATCATCTCCATCCCGGTCCCGTTGGAGATTTTTTCCCATCCCTGCTTCCGTCCCCGAAATTTTTGGGGTTGGGACAGGACGGGGTTCCCTGATCGGGGACGGGGGAACCCGCCCCATTATAAATACATTTTTTTTACTTTTAATTTAAAATTTTAAAATTTTAAAATTAATTTTTGTTATTACTAATATAAAAAGTGAACAAAAATTGATAATTGTATTTAATAGCTTCCTGAACTTTTAAAAATATCAAATGAACCACCTAAATTTCATTTTTGTATCTAATAGAAACTTTCAATTTTATGTTTAATAAATCCTTAAACCTATTAGACTATTTTTAAAATTCAAGAATTTATTAGTTCAAATCGTCTTACCTAAACAAGATTGTTCCAGGGTTGTATTATTGTGTCTATCCATTCATATTCTCTCAACAAAAAAAATTAAAATTAACCAATTTAGTATCAAAATATATTATCACTGTATTCCAATTATTTTTATGCAATCTCCAAACATAAAGTTCTAGATCCACAATTTATAATTGTTTTGTTTGAGACCAAGTTCATTAAACATGTTTTACTGAATTTTATATTAAGCTCCCGAACGAAAAATTCTAGATCCGCTGCTACATCCATCGGGACCACTGATATCCACACTACTTCCCCCTATGTCGCGAATAGAGGGCGAGGCGGCATCGTCCTAGGCATAGTCCCCGAAGAGGAATCGCATTTTAGGTACAGGTATCAGCACCCTGCTCGCTAGCTATCTGATCAGGTGCGCTCAACCCTGTTGCCGATTTGCTCGGTCATTTTGAGTTATTTCCCAGACTCGGCTCATGTGGTTCAACGGCACTTTGATGCGCGACTTTTCGATTTTACCTAATAACGATGTTGTCCATCTTTAAATATCACATTTGAGTGATATAATATTAAGAAGAATGTTCCAATATATATATATATATTTTTATTTCGTTTACCCTCTTTAAATGTTGGGTTAATTTCTCAAATTATTAATGTAGTTTAAAGTTTTTTTTAATTAAGTAAATTTATAAATAATGTAGTTTATACTATTAAAAAAAAGCCCAAAATATGATTTTTTTCAAAGTATTAACAAAAGTAGAGTTAACCTATGTCAAGTTAAAAAAAAAAAAAAATTCCATGAGGCTTAACACATGAAGTTTATGTTTATTACAAGGGTGGGCACAATGTGTGCTTATATATAAATCACATACAATAATTTTAGTTAAGTTTTAATTTTTAATGTTTTAGAAAAAAAAAACTAAAATAGATATTAGCGTCTATTTTGCAAATTATATCAAATTCATGATAAAAATAGCAGGGAAGACGAAAATGGATGTTTAACAAACGAGAAATGGAGAGATAGAGGTAAAGGAGTGACGATGATCATGGAAAAGGGTGTATGACCTAGTGGAGCAACTTAGAAATAGATAAGAGAAAAGAGAACGTGTCAGGATTAAGATAATGAAATGAAATGGAGGTGTGCTAGATAATATTCAGAGACCACAAAAATTGCAATCTAAACAATTTTCGCAGAATCTCCACTATATTTGCATTGGAAATACGCGTTTACAATGAAACCATGTCATTAATTCTTCTACCATTCACGCACCTTACTCTTGTAAATTAATCTTAAAACTATCCTAAAACTTTGTTTTTAAAAAAACAAAAATAAGAACATACATTATTATCTATGAAAAAATTTGGTCCCAACATTTTTCCATGAATGGAAATGTTGTGGCAAGAATCTACTTACCACACAATAGGCATAATTAATAGAAGACTTTTTGATTGAGGCTGTCACATGTTTGGCAAACCAAGTGATCTCTCTACAATGTCTAGAAACTTGAGAGCCCACTCTTACTTAAATGGAGTCTACATGTACAAGTCAAGATCTACATCTTTCATCACTTGATCCCACATTGGTCATCATCCTCAAAACCCATGCTCACCTATTTTAAAGAAAACAAAAAAAATTCACCGATTTTTCTAACGCGATTTATGTCTATAAACAAAGTATCAAATATTCATGAGTGAATTGACAAGGAAATGAGTAGTCCACTTATATTATAAATCATTCTTTGTTAAGGTCCAGTGTGAGATCCTTAACCATGTCCCTTCAAACTGATCGTGCCTCTTTGGGTTCACCAATTTTGGTCAGATCTCATTTTTGGACCAGATGTTCGTTTGAGTTTTTGGATTTGATAGTGAACCCAAAAGAGGTATGAGACATGTTAAGAATCTCACGTTGAAAAGACAATKAACTTAATAAGAATTTATCATATAAATGAGTTATTCTTATCATTCTCAGTTGATTTTGAGACGTAACCTCGTTACAATGATGCCATAACGGAATGATTTTTTTTCCCCACTGGAAGACAAAGGAAAAGAAAGCGTGGGACCAAGATCATTTAATGATTGAAGTGAAAGGAGGAAGAGTGAGAGGATTTTAATATGATAGGATGTATAGAATGGTTACTGTTCATTATTAATGGAAAAAAACTAAAGAAAAATAAAAAGAAAGAAAGAAAAATAAAAATGTTTCACATGCAATGGGTTGGAGGGCCCAGATTCCCCTTCCCCTTCTGATAGCCATGTCTCCATTCCTTTCACTCTCTTCCAACATGCATTGGCCCCTTCTTTTGACTATTCATCTCTCTCTCAATAATTTTGAATAAAATCAATAAAATATATATGTTGCCTAACAACTTGAATATACCAACTCAAATGTAATTTTACCAAAATATATTAGTGTTTTTCCATACAAATCATAGAGGCAAAACATTGGCCGAATATGATATCATCTACTTTTGAATTTACGTCGGGTTATTTTAGTTTTATTTTTAAGTCTCATCTAAAAGTCTCGTACTAATGGAGATGTTGTTCTTTCTTATGTATTGCTGATATAATTTATTCTCTTCTCTAGTTGATGTGAAGACTATGTTTGAATTTTCAAATAATCAACTTCCTTACGAATAAAGACCATCGAGAATCTTCCCTCAAATAGCCCATGTACATGTCTACACTTTTTTAGAACACGCTACTTATTTAATCAAGTATAATTAATGATTACGTTGTAGGATAATCGTACCTTTAACACTCTTTTATAGGTTGAAAGTTTGAATTCTCAGCTCGTAACTCTAAGTTTCTCTTCTTCATGTATTTAGTCTCCCATTATACACGGTTATGTTCAAAAGTTGTCCTTTGTAAATAATAATTTTGTGTTTTATTTTAAAATTATGAAAATAATTTATCTGTTTTATTAATGTTATCAAAATTGTGCCCATACCTTTTGATTATTCCGTTTCTATTAAAAAAAAACTATATTTTAAGAATTCATTTTTTTAATTGAACTAAAATTATAAACTACATTAGGTGGATAAAACAAAATTGTTAACATATATATACTAGTCAAATTTTAAAAGATAACAAATTGAAATCAAAATGGGGTTACAATAATAAGTTTTTCTCGACTAAGATTCAAAGTACTAAATGGAGAGAAAGTTAACTATTATTAAAAGTTAGACAAGAATTTTTTTTTAATATTTCAAAAAAAATATTAAACCCCACACATTTCGTAGCATACCATGTTCCTATTTTAAATTCTTTAATTCATTTAGATATTGTGTATATTATCTTTCTAGAACTAAAAATTATACTATATCACCGGTTAAAATCATAGTGAAACAAGCAAAAAGAAAAAAGAAATGATGAATTTGAAATGTAGTATAGTTCATGATATTACATTAATATCTCAAGGTAAATATTAATACCATAAGGTAAATATGTCAACGTAACTTTAGTTCAATTGATTAAGATACATATTTTTAGGTCGTGTGGTCGAAACTCCACCCGACATATTTTGTATTCAGAACAAAATATATCCACCTAAATATTTTTTCTGTCCAAACCAATAATATATATAATCAAAAAACATAAAGGCCAAAACTCCATTGTTTATTAAAAAGAAAACTTCCAATCCTAATTCGTTGGGATAATTTTCTTGTTCCATCTGTGTCACCTTTAAAAACTTAATTAAGAAAACTAAAAACCCAAAAAAAAAAAGAAAAAAAAATCTAAAATTACATGAAGTATATATCTCTTCTTGTGCAGCCGAAAGGTTTCTCTCTAATGGCGGCGGGTCTCGCTGTAATGGCTAATCTCCACGCCATTGGAGCCCACCGGCGGGAGGTGCACCAGCTGATTTCCAACTCCAAGAAAGTCTCTGGTCAAACTCTGCCCATTAATTTCCTCCTTCAACACACCGTCGCCGCCCATTAGCCGGTGGACGCCGTCAGCTCCGTCTTGCGGCGGCAGGAAAATATTCTTGTGGTTCAATAGACCGGCGGAGTTCATCCCATATATCGCCGACGCGGCGGCAGCGGTGGGCCCCATTTGGGCGGCTTGCTGCAGGAGCGCCGTGGCCGACATGTGAGGCGTCACCACGGCCGCTACCGAGTACGACGAGGCTGTCGGTAACGGCTCCGACAAGAAAGGGTGATTTTCCGGCATGAAGGGTGAGTGGTCGGAGAAAAAAGGGTTCGAGTTCGGGTTCGTTGGAGAGTCGAGCCAGAGGGGGACCTGCGGCGGCGGCTTCGAGTCGCTGCCATGGTCGGGAATGATGGAGAAACTGTTCACGGCCGCAGCGGCGACAGCGAAATTTGGCTGGAAATTAAGCAGTGATGAAGAGGAGGAAGAAGAAAAATGGTGGTGGGGATTATTGTTTTGAAGAGTGGTGTTGTTTATGAAAGATGGATTATGATGATGATGATTATTCATAGTTGGAACTGAAACTGAGGTGATTCTTGAGTTTTCTTCTGCTAATGCATCACAAAATGCTCTGTGTGTAATGAAGCTATCCTTCCTGTTCAAAACCCATTTAAAAAATTGGATTAGTGCCCAAATTTGATTCATAATTACAATGGGATATATGATTTGAGATCATAAAGTTTCATGCATTCACCTAAACTTAAAGATTATAACTTTTATTTAATTAAGTGGTAATTTGGATCTTCTTGGTTTCAATTTCGTCCTTGCATAGTTTTGATTAAATCTCGTAAAATCTACTTTAGATGTGACAAAGAGAAGCGATTAGGATGTGACAAAGAGAAGCGATAAACTAATGTAGATATAAAATAGTGAGATGATATAATTTTCAAGTAACAAGGAAAATAAACATGAGTAATACCAAGTTGGCTAATCTATTTTCTCTTTATTTAAAACCCAATTCATCCCAAACTCTAATACAATTAATCAATTTAGATTCCATTTTATAATCCTTCTGTTTTTGGTTTTCTACTTTCAAAAGTTAAGCTTACAACAACTACTGCTTCCACTTACGTATTCATTTGTATTCATTTATCTTATTATCAGTTTTGTAAACAGAAAACTAAAAATGAAATCATTATCAAACGTAACCTTAACTTTCTAATGAATGTCAACTCGTGTCCCTTGCTACTATGTCCAAACAAAATGTGCCATGAAAGAACCATTTATTAGCAATTTGGCACCAACACAGATAGGTCCGAGAAATTTAATCGAACTAGATGAATTGAATAATTGAAACTTTTAAAAGATATAGAGATACCCAATATAAAACTAAACACAACTCATAGGACTAAAATGATTATTTAACCTAACTTATTAGTACTAATGTGATTATTTTACTTTTTGATATGAGATAAGTTGAAAATAAAGTATTAGAAAGTGAATTTATGAGCAAAAAATATTTATATTTTGTTTGTGCATATATAAAGAAAAAATAATAAGAATAATTATATGGAACCTGGAGAAGAGAGTCCCACAGTCACATTTGTATTCCTTTGTCCCACATATCTTGGAATGAGCCTTCCAGTCCGATTGAACTGCATACTTCTTCGAGCACTTCTCGCACTTCCACTTCTTCTCCCCGTGCTTCCGGCTGTAGTGCTTCTTCACCCCGGTGAGGTCGCCGAGCGCCCTCGCCGGGTCGTGGTGCACGCAGTTCTTCTCCGGGCACACATACACCTTCTTCCTCACCTCCTTGCTTGTCCTCTGTCGGAGTTTCCACGGTAGGTTGTGCCCGCGGCGGTGTAGCTGCAGGTTCTGATCCCTCTGAAATCCCTTGTTGCATATCTCGCAGATGAACCGATTCTTCGTCATCAGAGACTTTGGAGACATCGCTATTACTTCTGCATCTGGATCTGATTCATGTGTGTTTTTTCCTTTCTCAGTAACATAACTCAACAGTTAAAACGTGTCTTCACAGTTCTATCAAATTTTATGAGCTACGAAGAGATGATTTTCAAGATCTCCTTTTCATTTGAGCTAAATGTTGACAAAGCCATTTAATTTTGAAAAAATAAACAAAATTATTATCAAATAGGAGTTAATTTCGAGAAAAATGAAGAGAAAACTAATGGGATTTTTCTCCGCACACCCCAGTATCTTTTTGTTTTAAAAAAAAAAAAAACGGGATTTTCTCCAAAACTCTCAAAACCCAAAATA